TTCGTTTCTGTGTCTCCACTTGAGCATTTTTTATTTGTGGGAATTCATGGATGGAGCATGAATAGATTTGCTCTGTGTTGTTTAAAATCGAATTCAAATTCAGTGGTCTAACCGTCTGCAAGATAGATATGAATCAAAATTGTCTAAACTTTTACATTCATTCATGTGCTTCTTTAAAAAAAAAAACACCAGTGGGGACAGACCCAACACACAACAAGGAGCCAAGGAGCATGGGGTGGGTGCTGTAAATATTTGATGGAGCCCCTCTAAAAATGTGCTACAGATCCTTGCATACTTGCATTTGCTCTCTGTAGATTGTTGGCAGTGCCTGGGCACTCCTCTTTTGAGCTATGTATTATTTAAAGAATGCTGAATCTTTCATGGTTGCTCCACAGAAAGTTTAGAATCAGACATTTTAAAGTAGGGAGCTTTATCTTTGTCAAATGTCCAAGAGACTCTGAAAGTGTCCACGCCCACATCTTTCACTGCTAGACATTACACTGTAGCTTTCGTTGACTTCTTTCTTTAAAAGTAAGACGTGTACTACCTGCTACACTTCATGATAAATTGTTATTTAAGTCATGGACATTCTCAAGTACATTTACATTTACATTTATGTATTTAGCGGACGCTTTTATCCAAAGCGACTTACATTGGGCGTAAACATCAAGCAGTTTGGTACAAAGTGGATTGATCAGAAAACATACACATAGAACACTTTCAAACTAGTACAGAAAATGAATTCAAATCAGTGCTTCAGATGTTTTTTTTTTTTTTTTAAGTTACGTAATCTCCCTTAATGGTCAAACTGAAATACATAGAAGGGATGCACCAGAAACACTGATGGGAGAGGCTACTTTCCACGTTATAAACGTAATTTCTTTTGGTGACATCTTGACTCTAACATTTGTTATAGCACATTATTGGTAATCTATACATGTTTTGCTTGATTTAAAACTGATTTCAAGTGTTTTAAAGCGCATCAGCCTCTTTTAGCCCTAATATTTTTCACTTAAATATGAGTGATGATGAAAAAGACTAAATGTGTATAGAATCACTGCGCAGTATAATATGAATGAAAGTTGGGAAGTAAATCCCTGTGGTTCGTTCTTTGAAGTCATTGAATGAACAAAATCATGAATACATTTTATAAAAAAATGTGTTTTAATGTCAGACATCCCAGTATTTTTCACTTAAATATTATGGATGAAAAGACTAAAGGAAATGATCTTTAGCAGGGGTGTCAAACATGGCCCGTCAGGCCGTCCAATCTGGTTCACTGTGAATATGATTACAAACATAGCATTTTAATGAATGCTACATTTTCAATGATAATTTGTGAATTAATTGATTTGCTAATACATTTTTTTAAACCAGGTTTTAACCAGTCTCCGCCTCGCAGCAGCGTGTTAATATGATGGGTCTATTTTTTCTGGTGGAAGAATAGAAGAGGTGACCAGCACGGGAACCGGCCTTCTCTATGCTAAAGCTAATTCTTGTCTTGAGCCAGAGTCAGATTTTGTTTGGAAAACAAAACAGTAAATCAGCAAACTCAGTAGAATTGTTTATTTTATGCTCTGTTTATTTAAAATGGCAGTGTAATGTTGCTTAAATTCTTTAAAACACATTACAAGAGAGTTATTCCATCAAACCCTCTGTTTAGTTTTGTAGTTAAACTGGGAGCTCTATATGAAGAGTATCAGTATGAAGTGAAAGTGTTGTTCCTCACTTTTGAAGCACATAATTTAATTGGACTGTTTTTGGTTTTTCAAAGCATTTTTTTGTGTTCACCAAAATGTTTTACTTTCAGAATACGGTTCTTTGCTGAAACAAAATAAAATTTATTAATAGTATGAATCAAATATGGAGTCAGTAATTATTCTGCATGATTTTCTGGTCCGGCCCCCAGAAGCTCAAATTGTGCACCTTGTGGCCCGCGAGCTCAAGACTTTGACACCCCTGATCTATAGAGGAGTCAAATGTGTATAGAATCACGGCGTAGTATCAGATGAACGAGGGTTAAAGTTGTGAAGTAAATGCTGAACTGCTTGTGTTTGGTTACATTAAACTGTCACAGCTCTGGCATTAAGGGGAAAATGTATATTTATTTCGAATATGATTAATTAAAACGACTGATTAAAGTGACTAATGTAAAATGTTGCCACTTTGCTGATTCTTCTTTCTTTCATCATTTCTTTTTTCAAACGTTCAGTCCTTCCTTTGAGTTGGTATTCCAAATTAATCAACATTGTCCTCCGCTCTTGTTATAACTATAGAATTCACTCTTTCAGTTTGAATTGTTTATGCATATCTGCATTTTTGAGTAAGTAATTTACATTTATTAGGCAGGTTTTCTGATCTACTTATGGATATCTCACCAGGTCTGGAGGAGCTGGTGTTGTCTGAGATCAGTTCCCCGAGCCGAACACAGCAGACGGGTGACAGCAGTAGCATTTCTTCCTTCAGCTACAGAGAGATCATGAAAGATGGGGCTTCAGCTCCCAGCACCAATAAGGTAGATCTTAGCGCCCACTGGGGACCAATGACCCTTGAAAATACTGTTGGCACAAGCGGCGCTTCCATTTCTCCAGTTTCCGAGAGTATTTCTGCCAAGCTATTAATAAACCCCAGAACTGTGGAGATTTCCGTGAATAAATAGTACGGGGAAAGAAATGTCGTCACGATTTTCTGGACAGCCTTTTGAAACTTACAGATTAAGAAACTCAGTTTCTTCAATGTGCAGAACTTCTTTCTTCCCTTTGTCCCCAAATGTTTTTTGCATCATGACTCGTTTATGAATCGTTTACCTAATTCATCTAAAGACAATATATCAGAGCTCTCCGTTTGAAAGACGAGTGCATCAGTGACTTTGAAAATTTGTTAAAGGAGTTGTCAACGTCCTTCAGCAGGGAAGCTCATTTTTTAGCCTCTGGGTAAATGAGACTCATGGGATAAATATAGCACACAGGGGACATCAAGATTGTTTAGAACAGCTCAACCTTTGTTTGATTGGATGTTTTTGTCTCCTTGCGAAGCGATAATGGACAGAAAAGAAGTACAAACACTTACACAGGATCTTTAGTTGTCTCCAGGGAAAACTATTCACACACTTATTTATTTTTTCCATTTATAATAATAAAATCAATGCCACTATTCAACAGCTTTATGTTAAAATGTGACCCAAACTCCTTTTCCTCCACCAATGATGCATGTTTTTGGTTTTCTCCACAGTCCAACACCAGCAGTCCGCAGTCCCAACGCCCTGCTGATCTTTCAGACGATGAGGTCAGTGAGCTCTTCCAGAGGCTTGCAGAGGTCCAGCAGGAGAAGTGGATGCTGGAGGAGAAGGTTTGACGTTTTAATCAATCGTTGAACTCAATCGACTCCGATAAGGAGGCACAGTTTAGCTTTGGTGGATCAGCCAGGTTTGCAGTTCTGCAGATAGGCTTCACTAGGCCTGCATGCTCCACCGAGAGCTGGAAGTGCTGAACTGTACCTTTAGGACTTAAATGATCCATGCAGGAATTGATTTTCATGTTTGAATCGATCAGCCTTGTTTAGAAACTGTTGGAATGGGAGTTTATTGTTCTGGCTTTGACAAGCGACATCAGTCTTTCAATTGGCAGAAGCGTTGTTTTATTTATTTATTGCTCCCTCAGTTACGAAAATGTTCTTTGGTACAGTTCGGAAGTGATTCCCTCAAACTATTAGTGTGTACAGGTACATCTTAAATGTGTAAATATATCCAAATATTTAAAGTGCTAAGATTTAACGTTATTTATTATTAGCCGCTCCTGTGAAATGGCATTTTAAATTTGATGTTTAGTGAATATTTTGAAATCATTTCATCTTTTTTTATTATTCAAGTTGACGTCTGATTTCTTGTAGTTTCTTGAATAAAACAAACAAAAATATTAAATTTAGAACAAATTACTGTTGTTTAATGACTGAATTTGCACGATTAACCTAAGTAAGCATTTAAATTGCATTTTATTTTGCAAATAATGATTAAAATATCATACACTGTCACCAAAGTATTGTGCATATTCCACACAGATGATATACTTTTTAAGTGTTAATGAAATTAACAGTATCTCATGAATTTAAATATTACTTAAAACCAATACAAAGAAATTGTTTTCCGAAAAGTTGTCCATCTGAAAAGTATGACCATGTGCAGCGCTCAATCCTGGGTTGGGGATCGTTTCGTTGCGGCGAAGCATGGAGTCGGTCTGTGGCGCTGCTCAGGGGTTATGAGAGTCCAGAGTGTTTTGAGAGTGGCCTTCAGAGCTTCACATCTTAGGGTTAAGGTCAGGTGAGAATGGGAGAACGTCCTGTTGACCTTGGACCTCAGAAAACACAGCGGACCTACACCAGCATGGCACCCCAATCCATCACTGACTGTATAAAAATTAGGCTCAAGCTGCGTGGATTCTGTGCCTCTCCTTTCTTCCTCCAGACTCTGGGAACTTGATTTCCAAAGAAAATGCAAAAGTTACTTTCATCAGAGAAAATAACTTTGAACAAATCCAGTCCTTTTTTCAGAATGCAGCCGCTGAAACACATGCCTTGCATGCAACAGTGCATGAAAGGCACTGACCCCATCTGCAGTTTTGAATCTTCTGCACATTTTTAAATGGGTTTTGTTTCACAATCCTCTCCAGGGTGCAGTTTTCCCTATTGCATGTATGCCTTTTGTGTCTTACCCTTCTTGTGCAAGGTGTCAGTGCTCGTCTTATGTGCAACGGTTAAGTCAGCTGTTTTTTAACCTAAAGAACTAGATTGAGAGACCATTCAAAGACCTTTTTGGGTGTTTTGAGTTCATTAGCTGATTAGAGATCGGCATCAGGTGTCTTCAATATGGAACCTTTTCAGAATATTCCCATTTTTAGAGTAAAATAACGAAAATAAACTCTTTGAATATATCAATCTATATGGAATGGATGAATACATTTTACAAGTTCCTCAATTTGAATGGAATTACTGAAACAAATCAGTTAACTTTACTGTGGTTCTGTTGGTAGAGCATTGCCCAGTCATTGCAAAGGTCGTGGGTTCAAATCCCAGGGAAAGCGAGAACTGACAAAACAAGGTGTTCATTTATTCACAATGTAAGTTGCTTTGGATAAAAGCATCTGCCAAAATGCGTAAATGTAACTTGAGCAAATTAATTTAATGAATTTAGACCTCATTTCTTTTCTAAACAAGGATAAAACACATCTTTCTCTCTTATCTGACTGTGATCAAAGTCTTTACACCTGTGTTTGTTTCGGCGGTGTGCGGCAGTTTATTGCAGATCGTATCTCCTTGCTCTCTGTTCAGGTGAAGCACTTGGAGGTCAGTTGTGCCTCAATGGCTGATGACATCTGTAAAAAGAGTGCCATTATTGAGACGTACGTCATGGACAGCCGGAGAGGTGAGTGGCTTTCTCTGCCCCTCGCAGTCATTGTTCAGAGCTTCAGACAGGTTTGTTTTCTGAAGGCTTTACAGACGAGGTCAGACGATAGCTGATATCGATAGTGCTTGTATTCTAAGTAGAAGTGACAGCCAAAGTGTATCAGACACGTTGTCATTTGTAGTTGGTCTGTCTTTGATAAAAAAGGGATTTAGACGCATACGGAGAAGTTGCGTAAGCTTTTTTGAAGCAATATTTTTAGAGGCACTCTTGTACTTGCATAATCTGCCACTAAATGTTTTATTGCCACTATTTATAAGGCTGTGCTGCTATTTCAGTACAATTGTACGTTTCAAGGGTAGCCTCCGAAAAGCCCTTTACAGCTTAAAATAAAATAAGCTTTACATGAGTTTTCTTATTGGAACCTAAATGTGTCAGGGAAGATTTTTATACACTGAAACCCTCTAAATATTTGCAACAAAAAGCCTTTGCTGAGGGTGGAGTTCATTTGTATTTAATGATGTTTTTCTTAATTTCTAAGAAAAAGTTCACACAAAAGTTTCACACAAAAGTTCACAATGTTTTAAATAAAATGTGCATCTAGCAACACAACCCTGCAGGAAAACTTGTGGTTATATGGGTTCAATTACTTATTGTGCTCAGAAGTTTCCACATTTTCTTATTTCTCAGCCATTTTTCTGAAAATATGAACCTGTGGAAAAATGTGTGTGTGTTATCATAGTTAGTGGTTGGGTGTTTCTTATCATAATGACAGCAGAAACTTTCCTGGCTTTGGCCTGATGACATGCACAAAACTAACAGGGTTTGAGCCACTTGTAAAGGTAACCATCTTCTCCTGCGACCTGTTTGTGCAGAAAAGGTTCTCCTGATAGACCCTTGTCTCTTTCATCCAGTGATGCATTGCGATTTCTGAATTCTGAGCAACTTAGTTGAACGGTACAAAGCAGGAAAACAGCATAAAAAGATCTCCAAGGAACTGGGAATACCTTACAGCAGTGTTCAAACTCTGCTTGAGAAGAAGGAATTGAAGGATTCTGCTACAACTGCCAGAAAATAATATAAGGGATGCACAGAAAAACCCACCTGGAATGCAGGGTTCTCTGACAAAATGTGGCGTGGCTGGTTCAAGGAGACACTTGAAGAAAAATAGTTTGCATGGTTGGGTAGCCATTACTACCGAAATACCACAAAGTAGCCTTTTATAGTATCCTCAGGGACAAGCTTCTAAACTCCTGGAACTTTTTGTCCACAGTCATAAATGCCACATTTAGAGAGGAGTCGACAAGAGTATACTGTAAACAAAGAATGCTTTCAGAAATAAAAATAACGATTGTTTATTGTGCCGCTTGCCCACCACAGTTGCTCACGCTCGTTCCACAGAGTTAAAAAAAAACCCTTTACCTCCTTTCATTCGTCACAAAAATGAAATTATCTTTTTTTGGGTCAGTCGTCTCATTTTCGCTGAGCTGCTTGTTTGTTTGTCGTAGCACATCACACTTACCTTTCACCTCTACCAGGTCATAGTTCATATATATATATATATTAGGGGTGTAACGGTTCACGGTATGTATTGAACCATTTCGGTATGGCCTGTTCGGTTCGGTACACTTGCGTACCGTTTCGGTATTCGGTATTCTTATAATAATTTAAATTTATTATTAGCGCGATATTAAGCGCAGCGGAACAATGTTCCAAGGCGAGTTTCCGCACGGACGCTATTGAGTGACGAGCACGAGCGCGAGTCGGAAAATGGAATCATATCAATATATATATATATAATCATTTTAAAGTATTTATATAATAATTTATAAAATATTTAACATTTACATATCGTCACATTAAGCTTACGTGCATGTGTCATTTAAACAAGAATAGCAGTTATATTAAATTAGTTTCCGCTAACTTGAAAGAGACGCTATTTGAGGTATTTTTAGAACAGGTGGGCGACTCATGTGGTCCGCGGGCACCGTGTTGGGGAGCCCTGCCGTAGATATTAGTGTACAATGGTGATGATCCTCCATATAAAGCTTACGGTGTCCTGCAAACCGTCTACCCACCAGAGAAATACCCACAAAGCCTCCAGCGCCATGTTGGCATCGCTCCGTTGCATGAAAATATCGTTAGTGCATACATAGCATTTATTTGTCTGTATCCTGCAGTGTTTTGGGTGTAACTACAGATAATTTTATTCTAATTTTAACGTGTTTTGGCCTCAATTAAAGCGAGTGTTTCCCCGAGAACTGAGAAGAGGTGATAATGTTGCATCTTGCTGTCACTTCCCCCACTCTGTGTTTTCTGTTAATTTCATGACTGACTGATTTAACATTTAATGGCAGACCAGATTTCATTAAGGCCGTGGTATAAACCGTTGGGATGCTGCAAAGATGTGAACGGTAACACTGTTTTAGTATAAAAATCCATCCAAACGATGGGGAAATACTATACAGCATGTGCTTTAACCCAGTTTTTACTCGATTTATCATAGTGGAAAAGTCTTTCTCAAGTGCAGTGGAAACAATTAATCTCCTGCAAGAGTTAAGGCGAGTGGGAGAAAAATGTAAAACTGTATGAAAATGAAGAAAGGATGCAGGAGGGAGCAGGGTTAGATGAGAGCTGACATTAGCAGGATGTAAATGATTCAGAATGCAGACATGCCTCAGTGAACCCAGCACTCGTCCTCAATAATGCAGCAGCAAGACTGAGCACCCCTCTGTCTCCTCTCCCCCGTACTCCCTTTCCTACTTTATCCTTACACTAGCAGCCCGTGATGTAACGAATGAAACAGACATTTCATGTGAGCGGTGGACTTTTGAGTCGGTAGCTGAGGATGTGTTGAGTGGCAAGGCTGAAAAGGCTCAACTTAAATCAGACGTATGCCATCTTTGGGCTGTTTTCTCCATTATGTTTTCCAGCTCGCGGAGTGTCCTGCTTTAAATGATTTTACTCTGTATATCCAACGGAAAGTTATTGAATCAAAGTTTTTTACTCTTTGTTTTTGGCAAGATATACACCCAGATATAGCTCGATTGCTAGCTTTTTATGCAACGGAGGGATTTAGTTAATTCTCTCAATCGACATCTGCTACTTGTTCCACAGTTACTGAAATTATTTAACTTTTTAATGAGCTTTGTATAATAATGGAATAGAGGAAAGTTTTCTATGTGCAGACAGCTGCAGCAGGACATTCAGAACACAACAGACGCAGACGCGCAAATAAAAACAGAATTTAGGAATTAAAAAATTAGGAAAGGGAATAATACATAAATAAAAAAATATCAAAATAAAGCTGCAAGCAGCAATCATTGGGGTTTAAGCACTTTGGTTAGTCTTTTAGGGTGTTGGTTCGTAATAAATGGCCTCATTTGATCCATTACAGTATTTCAAATATTGCTAGTAATGCGCACTTTGTACATTTTGAGGTCTACGTAAAACACTTTATTTTGCTTGTAATTTTTTTTTTTTTCAAATTATTGAACTAGTTTTAACACAAATGTGCATTATGAGCCAAAGATGATGCATGTTTCAGCTCAATCATTTATTTATTTATTTTTTCTTGAGGTACTCAACTATTTTTATGCGTTTATTTTACGCTATATTATCTGGTCAAAATGTTTTTTCTGTTGTTGCTTTGTTTTGTTTTTGAGTGACCTCTTACATCATATTTAATTATTTCCACTGAAATTACAAATTATTTCTCACCTCTCAATGGAGGGTCTCGCCTGGAAAGAGTAAAAACTCAAATCAAAATCTTTTATTCACGCAATTTAATTAAAAGAATGCTCAGATACTGACATTGTGGGGAAATAATCAAAATAACCCATTTCAGTCCCAATGCCCTACACCACTGGAGCATGGAGGATGTCAATAATAAAAGATGATCTGCTGAACTGAATAATAGCCTTTAATTAGAGTTTTTTTGTAGTGATGTGTGAAGCCGTGGAATGGCTAAAGATGGCAATAATAAAAACTAAGAACTCTATTAAAAATGACATTTACAGAATGGAACCCTTGCAGTCAGTGTTCAAGTTTTCGAATTCCACATTCCAAACATGTTTGATTACAAAGATTCGAAAAAAAAAAGAGCTTGTGTGGAAACCATGGGATAAGTTCTTGTTTGTCTACTCTAGACAAAAGCGGAAACTTTTGAATGTTTGGTGCTTGAGCTCTTCTTCTACATCAGAAGCCTCCACTATTTCAGCAACATGCTGCAGTCATGTGTTTACAAGCTTAGCTCCGCCTAAGTGCTGCTGGAAAGAAGTCAGCTTGGGTGAGATGCTGCTGTAGTTTGGAATCCCAGTCCCTGCTTCAGGCCTTTACTGAAGCGTGAAGTAAACTAACCTTTCGGTGTGCTCCTGCTTCATCATCTAGGAGAGAAACTATCATTATCATGTGCCCCATAGCTCTAAAACCCCTTTGTGAGTCACAGGAGCAATATTTTTCTTTCTTCTACGAGCAAATTCTGTCCACTTAAGTGTGAATTACACCACCGGGAACGCTGGGTAGTCTATTTGCAGAGGTTGCAAAAGCTAAAATTAGGAGAAAGGAACATCGATAACTAAATAGATCCTACAGAAGTGGTAACATCTGTAACCTTTGGTGTAACATCTGTTTTTGGATTGGTCCAGGATCCATTTCCAAGCACATTGTTCTTTATCGTTC